ATCGAAAATGTTCAAAAAAGATTGATTCGTATTGTTTACGATAGGTACTTTGAAAGGCGCTGTTATTATGACTATGAATACATACTTAGGTCCTTTTCGCTTACACTCTTGTCTGAAAGGCGAACGATTCATGATTTTGTATTTTTGCATAAGGTTGTGAATAGTGTAATTGATTCGCCATCAATGCTCAGCAAAGTTAATTTTTATGTTAACTTACGCCATATTAGACATCCTGTATGCTTTGATGTACGTTCACCTTGTTGTACTTCACCGCTTTCTCGGATTCAGACATTATACAACAGCATTGCTCCTAAGCACCTCGATTTCTGTACATCCATTTCATCCTACCGCCATCAGTTGAATAACCTTGTAATTTACTGATAACATTTTGTTTGTTTATTTGTTTTTGGGTGATGGTAATATACCAACGTGTTTCTATAGGATTGAACAGGTGCACCAAAGTGAAGACCGCTGTGGTTGTTTTTGGGCACTGAAAATAAAGTCATTATTATTATTATTATTATTATTAAAATAATGCATTCTTAGTTAAATGCCCATGTGTGAGCAATTCCTAGAAAGCTCTGCCGCTAATCAGGACAACAATATTTCATGCACAAATGAACTGTATACAGAGCAACACACTGGCAAAGGTTCAAGATTTTAACTTTTACTAATGCGGAGAAAACAATTTTAATCATTAGCGTTATTGCGCAATGTGCCGTATTTGCGATTTTGTTTCTCAAAATAATAACCCTAATGCTCGGTGATTAATAGTTTTTGTCAATCTTTCCTATGCCTCATTTGTTAGTAAAGATTTTTAGAGCCGTAGCCAGGGCAGTTTTTTGGGGAAGCCGACCGAAATGCCAACATCGCGCGATACGCAAAACGCGCACGTGACTGAGAGGGTGCTTACAATTTTTTTTTCCGGAGATAATTTTTTTTTTTTTTAAATAAGGGTTAGTTTTATTTCTCTGGGGATGGAGCCAGCAAAATATTTTTTTTTCCATCATGATTAAAGTTGATCACCGGTCATAGTTGTTCGATGTTATCTCAAAACGCCCAGCAGTAAAACAGCCGCAGCCACAGACTTGTACGTTATCCGTTTCAAGTAACGAAATTACTCGTAATGCCTTACATTTAGCAGTAATTTAGTAACGAAATAATTACATTATTTCTAGAGTAATCTTAAAGTAATTCCCTTACATTTTTTACTTAACGGATTCCTCGTAATCCGATACATTTTTTCAGGACCCGCTTCTACAGAAAAGGTTGTTTTTATTTTGGTAATGTCGAGCGCACTTACACTGTCACGCGAAATGACCAGCGTAAAGGAAGGTTTGGCACTATTCAGTTCCCCAAAGCCTTCTTTTTTTCTGCAGCACCAGGCCCCTGAATTTTTTTTACACCCTAACAATAATGTCAGAAGATCCAAATAAGCATTTCTATATATATATAAAAAAAAGATAAGAAAGGAAAAAAAAGGGGTTATATATCCGCTTTTTTTTAGTCCTTATGTATTTCTTTGCGATCGAAGACTGGGAGAAGAGGACACCAAGTGATTGTGTGCCTCTTCGAGAAGCTCGAGGCGGCAAGTGTACAGACAAGAATTAACAATGGCAATCTCGGTTATAGTGACTACGACCATTTTTATAATGTCACAACAGCAGAGAACGCTCCGTCTACCCTAAAATCCACTAAGAGAGATGCGATAATACGTGAAGATGTTATTGCCACAAGCATCCTCGTTCGTTGCTGCACACTTATTTTCCCTTAGAAATTAGTATGTATCTTTTCCTGCTTCTTTTTACCTTATTTGACCTTGTTTTAATAGCTACTTATTTTTTTGTAGTCCAACTTCTAGGGTTGGCCCACTTTATTTGTGAATTCCAGCCAGGTTATCTGCTTCTCAGTCCCCCTTTTTGTGAGTCAGCTTGTTGCGAGCACTTCGAGAATGGTAATAGTCTTCCTTTTTCGTCTTCCTGTTTTTACCCCAGCAGGACTTATCTTATCTCAAGCAGATATTTTTCCAAATAAAAAATAATTGTGGCTGACGTAGAACTTTAGGTGAGAGTAAAACTTGTGAATGGGTCCCGCGGCTTACTTAGTTTTCTGCCCTTCGCTGCGCGTATCATCAACGGACGTCTATCTGGAGAACACCGGAGTAAACCGCAGTCGGTCCGTGCTCCGTGCGTTTTTGAACGGCACCAAGAAAGGTACACACCGCAAACGTGCGTTTACATTTGCTTGTTTTAACTGATGTTATAATTAATTGTTGTTATAACTGTCCTGGTGTTGCGTTTTCCTTGATTACTTATATTTATATATTGGAAACTTTTTCTTATTCAGCAACGTCTCAACCGAGGCACCCCTCCACCTGTTCAGAACCAAAGGAAGAAGACTATCGAGCCAAACCTTATTTAATATTTCATTATCACCTTACTGTTACAACTTATTTAGCTATTGTCTGGCAATATATGCCGGTATAGTAAGACGTACATAAATCTATCCTTATTCTAGTTTTTGCCAGATGTATGATGACTTCTACAGCTTCGCGATTTCGACAATGAAGAATTTTAGTTGATTGGTCCGATCACTCTGATAACGATACCCGATACTCTGCCGGCCACCACCGCCTTTGCGCATGCATCATGTCGTTATGGGGGTACCGGAGGTATCGGAACAATCTACTAAAACTCTCGAATACCAGGCAACGACTGTAGCGACGAAGCTTTGCTCTATCTTCGAGGTAAATAGTACTCCTTTTGCTTCGCTGAAAAAGCTCAACGCAGAGCATCAAACATTCGTAAGGCACAATATGGCACTCCCATTCAGTGCCTTAGATCAAATGCTGTTCAGCGTAGAAGTCGACATATTGAGTAAGAAGGGAACCGGACATTTCATCGAACGTCATTTAATCAAATAAGTGGACATTTCATCGAACGCCATTTCATCGAATCACTTGACGCCGTTTCATCGAATTTCCCTTTACTGAATTTGGGAGTAATACTATACATGCCTTGCACCTACGTCACATGATGACGTCGAACACCTGGTGGTTGACTCGACGGCCATTCGCAGCGAGAGCAATGGTAAACTCCGCCGCGCTCGGCAGTAGAAATCACCACGTATCCCGATGATCGTCCAATCGTTTCGTCGGCATGCCCCGCGAGACAGAGTAGCCGTCAAGTTAGAGAAAGTACGAGCAGCAGGAAAGGGATGCGGCCGCGGTTCATCGAGTTTGCAGGACGCATTTCATAGCGGCGAACGACGGCACTTATCTATCGTTGTTTACGTTCGCGCACGCCTTTGCATCGGCATTTTGCTCGTTCGTAGTGTGTATGGCCTTTGACCTTCGTTGCATAACGCCGTTTTCACGCTTCGAGCGCACCTTCGGGGCTCCCGGCCGAATGCGGGCGAGTGTCGCGCTGCGAGCCCGGCCCGACGGCGATCGGTCGTCGGCGGCCCCCACGTGCAAGTTCGCCGAGCCGCCGCCGCCGGGGCATCGGTTTGTGCCGTCCGCGATACGATAACCTTTGCAAGAAGCGAAAGTATGCAGGCGAGCCGGTCAGGAAACGTCATAATATAAACCCTGAGACACTGAGAGTTTCTTGTCCGTTATTGGATTTATCCTTGTCTCAGGGTTAAGATTATGACGGTAACATTGTTTTTTTACCATTAATTCGCAAAATCGTAACAATATTTCTACAAGCGATTCCTAGAGCCGCTCGTCAAATTATGAAGCGCGCAATTAAGCTTTTTCTTTTCTTGGCGACACGGCTTCCCTTTGCGTCAAAACTTCGTCGGCGGCATTTCGAAACTTTCTGCTCGTAGCGCAATCGCACCAATGCCGGAAAATTCTGCACGTACTGGATAAACGTAATAATCGTAAGCTCAGCACGTTTTTCAAAGTTCACGGTACCTTTGTTGGAAATATGGTGCATCTTAGCGCATGTCCGGGCCGTTAGCGGCATATCCTACGCCCTGGTAAGCGCATCCGCGCGGTGTGAAGTCAACCACCAGTATGGTGCGGGGCCCCGTTCTTCCCTAGATGTTCCCTAGCGTGACGTCACTTGCAAGGCATGTATATGTTTTACATAATTTACTACCGCTTTTGAAATAATTCTGGCGCCGCTCTAAATTCACCCGAACTAGAATTACTACCCCGGTTAATTTTTTGTCCACATAAATGCTGGCTATTGAATTACAGAAGGTAGCTATCCTATCAAAACCTTAGTGGATACGCGAGTTATTCTTTTCTGGCAAGGTTGGCGGCTGTTCTTGGCCGCGCACTTCTTCCCACTTCATCCCTCTATTTATTCACGCGTGGAAGGCACTTTCTTAAGAGGGAAACAACTATTCTCCGCAACGCCTTCTTATTTTGTTTTTGTCGATTTACCTGTGTTTTCATTTTATCTTAGGAGAATAGCGTTCTTTTTAAAAACATATATCTGCTCTTAAAAAAGACGCGTCTCCCCTCTTCGTTAATTTATTGTAACCGACAGAACCCTGGACCTGTCGCATCTTGGACATGCAGTATATATACTCTATGTCGAAAATCCAGTAGGTCCATGGTTTGGGGTGCACTGTACCTGCCGTCATCCGAAGTCACTGGGGTCAAAGCCGGGCAGGCTAACATTTTCTTTTGCTTTGTTCACCTTTCTCCATAATTCAATTTCATTCGTTCGCTCAGTTTTAAATACGTTTTGAGCATAAAAGGTGCATAAAAGATGCCTTAGCGCGATGCATCGGGCGTTTGGTCTTTCGCCGCAGTCAGGGGGTGTAATGCTCCTATTTACTTGAGTAACAGGTACATTGACTTAAAACGAAAGAAACACACGTCCTCGGGTGTGTTTTTTTCGTTTTAAGTCAATGTAGATCACCTACACGCTCAAGTCTTTAATTAACAGGTACAAGTTTTCGTAAAACGTTAAGTTTCAACTTAACGTTCACGCGCTCGTTGCATTGGTGACGAAATGCGCAGCAGCTTCACGCTCTTTCACCTGAACCAGAGCCGATCCCCGGAGAGCACGTGCAGGTAGCCGTCCTTGAGCGGCAGGGGCCTCACGGGCCGAGAGAGCGCGCCCAGGGAGTCTGAAGCCTCGTCCTCGTCCTCCGAGCTCCCCACTGGCCCGGGGGAGGACGCAGTCTTTTCGAGCTCCACTTCGTCAACATTGCTGGACATTCTGCGCAGTCGGCGGAACCTCAGTCCCGTGATGGCGGCAACCGCATGACCGGGGACAAGTGTGCCGGGTCTTGCGTCGGCTCTGCGATAAGAAAGTGGTTGGACAAGGTTCAGGCTTGGTGTTGCCATCACAATACGTGTCCGAGATGCTGCTTGGCAATTTGTGTACCCGGCGGCTTTACCTAACTGCCCCACCACATGGGACGCTTTTCACGCGCTTCGCCCTCGTCAATGTCACTTCGCTTTAGGGGTATTCACACGAGGGAGAAATCCCGGGGATTTCTCCCCGGCACGCGCATCCAACGACGAAAACGTCAGGCTTTGCGATGTGCAAAAGCCTCGCGTTTTTATCTCGTGATGCGCGCGTGCCGGGGAGAAATCCCCGGGATTTCTCCCTCGTGTGAATACCCCTTTTGGCGCGCGTCGATCCGTGCCGATACCTGTCCCGGCCAGATTTTGGCTTCGGCCCTCGCGCAGGATTGTTGGGAGTGATCTCGAGAGATGACCACCGACGGTGACGTGAGCGAAGCGCGTGAAAACACACCCTATGGACTTGGGGCTGAACGGTCGCTTCTCGTCCCATTAGCCGGATTAATTCCTCAGAGCAGCTCTAGCATTCGAGTCCAGCTGCATTAGCGTCCTATTCCTCATGTATTCTGGTCCGCCTGGCCTCGGAAACTCCTTTAGCGGGAGGAAATACTTTGTGAATTTCACCGCGACGACACGAGAGACTGTGCGCAGGACTTAATTAACAGCGGCGCGTGTTGGATTTGCGTTGGTGGTCTTTGATAAATGTGTTCCTGACTCTGAGAGTGTTGAATGTCTGCTGGATTTTAAAGCTTGATCTATTTATTGATTCTTACGGGCCAGCTTACTATTTTTTTATACCCATAAAATAGGTAAAGAGCACAAAGTACCATATCCTAAATCTGGTTACTATAATACTTACTTATACGCAAGTTGTTGCTCATCAACAGTACTAATAATATGAAATTCCTTTCTCATATCAAAAACACTATCATCGATAGCAGTCTCCATGTGTAAAAAAACTTCACACTTGCGAGATAATCAGAAATAAGATCGTTGTTGGCCTCAGAGATATGAAGGTGTCTGAAAGACTGAAGCTCGGCGGAGATCTAGACCTGCTGAAAAACAACGACTGCGGCGTGCCAGCATGCACTGCTAATATACACTTTTAGTGCAAGTTTGAGCTCATTACGGGCAAGTCTAGTTTCGTGAATAACAAAAGAGTTACTCATTACTGCTTACATCTGCTTTGAAAGTGTTGCGCATGCTGGCTACGGGGGAGAGCGGAGGTGAGTTGGAGAGTCGTTTATGAACCTTGAAACAAGATCGCGGTAGCCGGAACGAGCCGTCTGAAATCGCTGTCTGTCTGAAATTAAGCGCTTTGTCTCTGTGACTAGGATTGTTTAATTATTAGAGGACTATAATATTTTCAAAGAGCAGATACAAGCAGAGTTAATTTTGTGGGCACTTTAGCTATTTGGAGTCGTACATTTTCTTAATCTGTGAAGAAATATTTAGATAAGCGAGTGTAAAGGGATGTCCGTGCGACCAGGCGAACGAACCTGTATTTTCGAGGCACTGGTTTCTTAACACAGAATGTGTTATACGGCTGGCACCTATCCGTATCCGGTTAGTTGCCAGCAACGGAAATCGACTGACGTCACGCCAGCCGCATGCTGAAGTAGCGCTAGCTTGTCTCTTCGCTGATCGGACAAGAGTGCCAGCCGAGCCTCTTCCTCGAGTGCCTCCGTATTATTCCAGGAGGGGTTAAACAGAAAGCGAATGAAAAGCAGAAATATAGAATGCAGACTTCTTTTCCGCAAAATGTTCTGTTGCCGTTTTTTTGCCACAAGCTGGTAACAGGGCTTTGTTCGGCGCTGCCACGTTCCGATGATTCGGTTTTCCACACGCTTTATCTACAGTGTCTCCCGTCAGAACAACGTTTGAGAAATTCGTATTCAGAATGCAAGCGCAGTAGACGGTAAACACGAGTAAAGCGTTGAAACACATGCAAACAAAAACCCCGGCGCGTCGCGTCGCGCCACCGAGCGGCCTAACTATAGCAAACGCCGCTGTCGATATGACGTGGCTGAATGCAGCGCCGTGATGTGACAGCGTCAGCCACGGTTTCCATGGTTGCGCCGCTCGGTGCTGTGGCGCAACGCGCTTTTTTGCTCACATGCGCTTCGCACTTTAAGGCCCCTTCACACACTTGCAGCTGGAAAGAACTGACTGAGATAAGACCGGTTTTTAAGCCTCTTGCGACGGCGTAGGATCGGACGCGCAGCTGCGGAGCACATGCTAGGTCGTCGCAGGAGGCTTAAAAACCGGTCTCGTCTGAGCCAGTTCCACTTGGTTGCAAGTGTGTGAACTGGCCTTAAGGCATCCCCAGAGCGCTCACGCGCTTACCTTGCACAACACAAAGAAAGTGTGGACACATGTAGAGACTGAATGGCGCTTCGTGCCATCTAGTCTCCACACTAACACACTCCACACTAACACTCCACACTAACGGTTTCTTCACACTAACACATCACATTGTGTATTACCGCTGCCCTTGCCACTCGAGTGTGGTAAAGGCGCGACCTTTTTAAACTTGTGTTGACTGAGCAAGGCATACTAAAAGGTTGTCATTAAAATCAAGTTGATAATTGTTGGAGAACGTGAGTCACACTGCTATAGAAGTCTAAATTTCATAGAAAGGCATTTTATTTTATAATTAAAAAATAAACGGGAGACACACACGTTTTAGCTAAACTCAGCAAAAACTAGATGGCGAAGGGATAAGAATGCTCTAGACGCTCCACCACGCGCTAGTTGCTATACGTCAAGCTTTGGCTGCGCATGCGCTGAACTGTTTTTAAAGATAGAAATCGTTCGCTAGGGTCCACCTAAGTAGCACGCATTTTTTGGGTCAAATTTTCGTTTGGTTTGGTTTTTGTCTGAAATCATGAATATATGAAGGCAAACTTAGTTTGAGATTTTAGCCTTATTCATAGTATTTTTGTGAAAAATTGCCAAACAAGCGCCAGAGTTGTAAGATTTATTGTCTTGATATTCGGTTTTCACCTTGCTCTTTGGCTCTTCAGTTCCTGAGAAAATGCGAGAATTAGGTTTCACTTTAGGTTGTTCCATTTTAACATTGCAAGTTTGGGCCTAGATTATAATATAGTGTTCAGAATTATGCTTCACTGCTGGTTGTTCGGTACATACGTGAAACTTTTGGTTCGTGTCTGCCACTTTGGCAACTATGTGGAAAACCAAAGAAATCAACAGAATAGCCGAACCAAACTTCTTTGATACAAACAAACGCCTTGAAGCAAAACTTTATTAGGGCCAGGTTAGGCCCCTGGAATCCCTAAACTTGGGCCAAGTTAGGCATGACTCTGGTGTGCCGCCTGGATACAGTATCATCAACCTTTCACCTACAATAGTAAGGAAGGCCTCTAAGCGAATCATCAGATTTATTATTTTATTAAATACGAGTGGCCTGCTTAGTCTGCAATCACCCATTTAACGCTGCCTTGCAGGAAACGGGGACATGTTTAATAATTGAGTGCAGTGAATATTAAACTTAGTAAAAATTATATAATTAAGACTGTATTTTTCTTTATTTTTTAATATTATTATTTTGGCCGATTCAACTGTATAGTGTCTAATGACCGTACTAGCTTCCAGAGCAGTCTTTATTTTACCTCTGGTCGGCTCCAACAGTAATTGAACGGCAGAAGCTGAAGTGCAATTCTTTATCACGGAGACGAATACTGGATTATAGGCAACAGTTAAGTCGTGCGTTGACCAGAGGCAGACAGCTAACACTTTTTTCCTGCACGACGCAGCGTAGAGATTGCCCGTTCACCGGAAGCCATATGGTACTAGGCTTAATAACTTTTGATAGTGTGGTCGATGAGCCAAGAATAATTTAGGATGTTTTTTGAGGTCTAACGTTTAAATCGAAACATTCCCAAAACTTAATTCTAGACAAAAGGAAAAAAAATACATAAGTGGGAAGAACAACACGCAATGTCTTCAAACACAGCTAAGACCTCATGAAAGACCGAACCCTTTAACATGAAGAGAACACCTCTGCCGATAGTGGAAAACCCAATACAAGGGTGCCTCTTTAATGTTCCTACGGGAAAACAATAGAAACACTCTTCCACACGAACCTCCACAAGGTGCGAGTCACACTTTCTTGGCCACAAGCCGTTTTATATGGCACAATGCTATTTGAATCGGTGAGATCAGTGACGCACGAAGAAAATCATGGTTATGACTAGTTGGAATTTGCGCAAATTGGAAATGTTCGGGCTCATTGTAAACCCCCTGGTGACGCTGCAAAAAGCACTGACTCCAGACAGCTCTTCCTGGTGATGTCAAGGGGCTCCGGAAATATATCTGATATGTGGGCACGATGTTTGGGGCCTCATGTCGCATCGTGGAGTTCACCTATCTCTCTCTCTCTCTCTAGATATAAATATAGATACAGAGTGTTTCCCGAAAAGTGAACATATCTGATGCTGCGAAAAGTACGCGTCGCAACGAAAAAAAAAAACTGGAGTCGTTTTGGTCCTGGGCCAGGGGCCTATTTAGGAAAATCATTAAACTCCGGGATAAATAGATTGTTACTTCTTTTTGCCTAATTAACATTTTTATTATTGTGTTTAAGGGCTTGGTTTCACGTAAAAACTTGCTGAGCATCCCCGAAAAACACTAAATCAATAAATTGCACAACGATAGAAGGCACGCAATTTATTGATTTAGTGTTTATCAATGTTTATCAATGATGCTCAACAATTTTCTAATTGAAACAATGCCTTTAAACAGATTATTAAAAAGTTGAATACGGAAAAATAGTTAACAACTTAATTATCCCTAACTTTAATAATTTTCCTAAATAGGCCCCTGGCCTAGGACCAAAACTACACAAGGCTTTTTTGTGTGCGACGTGTAGATTTTGCAATATCGAATTTGTCCACTTTTCGTGTAACACTCTGTATGTATATATATATATATATATATACGGCGGAAAAACGTACTTGAAACGGTTGTTTG